CCTAAGCTAATTAGATCTCCTAAATTAATTAAAAGCAATAAAATATTAGATAACCTAAACAATCTAGATATCATCTATAAATATATAATAAGAATTAACATTTTTCAAAAATAGCAACTTAATTTTTAGTCATACCTCTTTCTTCATTAATTGTTTTCCATAAATGGTAACTTCTTTTTCTTTTTTTTTTTCACGTATAGAAATAATTGCAATCAACATGTTCACATTGCATGCCCATTAGATCCGGAATAATTCCAGCAATATTTTGGTAAAACCGTCCCCTAAAATGCGGGAGAATTACGTTTTGATAAAGATTTGAAATCAAGGAGCGGATTTTCAAAGAAACAATATATTCTTCATCCTTTCTTTAATATTTAAATCGATTAATTACATCATCATATACACTAATCCAAATATTGGTGTATAAAGTAAAATAAAAAAATAACCCGATTTTGATGTAAAAATAATATACAAAAGTTCTTTATTCATTACTGCTTTTTTATTTAACTCAATAAATGACATCATCATACACACTAATAATTCATATACTTAAAAATTAGAATAAAAAAATTAACCGATTTTGATGTAAAAATATTATACATAATTGATACTTCATTTTTTTTTTTTATCCTCATTTGACACTGAAATTTACAAATATTGATTAATAAATAGTATTTTACATGTTTGCTTTTTATTTAAATTTTGTGGTTCGTGATCTATAAAATGTAGAAATTATTAATAAATAGAATTTTTGTAATCACGATATATAAGAATGTGTGTAACAGATTTTGTTACTAATTTCCAGAAATTTGAAAATACACATAACACATGCTTATTATTATTATTTTTTTTAAGAATAAAAAAGTACAACATCTATACTTATATTAAAAACAATACTATTTACCAAAAATAGTAGCAAAAAAAGTCAACTCACATTTAATGCATACTTTATTTAGAAATTTTTTACTATATGCATTAATTGCTTGCATATATACATTTTCTATTCAAATATGAACAAAAAGATTCTTTCCTTAAATAATTTTATTAACTTCTGCAATGATTTTACTGATATATATATTATAATTCATATTTGTCGATAGTATTTTTTAATTTTTATTTGAGTATATAAAAATCAAATATTTTTTTTTAAATTAATATTTTATTTATCATTTAAGAGATAATGATCACATCATTAAATGATATTATTGATGGCTAGATAATAAATTAAAATACATTAATTATTCTTTAAAATTTTGGCATGTTATTTATTTGTATCTATACTTATTATATAAGGTATCCTATTTATCAAATTTAGTAGATTGAAAAGTCAACGTAATTAATGCATTGCTATTTCTATCCTGAATTTTATTTAATTATTTTACTTATTTGTCTTATATCCCATAAAATCATTTTAAGAAAAAAAATCCCATTACATATGACAAGTAAAAAAAAAGATGTAAAATCTTTACTAAAATAAAAAGACTTTATTTATTTGTCTTATTCCATATTAACATCGATTTTGTCAAAATAAATCCCATAAAATCAGTGAAACCCAAATTTGTACGTAAAGTCTATCTATCCAAAAAAAAAAAGTCAGATTCAAAATTCCTTATCTAATTCCTTCTTTTTCTTATCTAATTCCTTCTTTTCCTTATCTAATTCCTTTTTATTATTTAATTGTATGAAAATCTGTTCTGATTTTGTTCAATCCTCTAATTGTATTTGTATTATATTCCATAAAATCGGTTTAACAAAAAATTTCCCATAACATCCGATAAGTAAAAAAACAAAGTGCGTAAAATCTTTACTAAAATAAAAAAGCTTTATTTATTATCTAATTTATTATCTAATTGTATGGAAATTTGTTCTGATTTTATGATACGTAGTACAAATTGTGCACCCGTGTTCAGGAACTACTTAACGGACAAGCTCTGTGGAAATGACTCATTTAGTGCTTCTGTCCCGTGCATACGGTATGTATTTTTATTACATATACTAGAAAATTGTGCATCCCGTGCATCGCACGGGCTCTGTACTAATAAATGACCTTAAAATTGTGCACCTCGTACATCACCCGTGTTCACATTTTGGCCTATTACAGGTCACTATATATATCTAGTACATTTTGTTTATTCATTTATATAACTATAAGAATGGATAAATGACCTTAAAATTGTGCACCCCGTGCATCGCACGGGCTCTGTACTAGTTTGGAGGAACAACAATATATTTTATTCTCATGCATTTAATTATATTCTCCATCCAAAATTTTCAGTATTTAATTATATTATTTCACTTCCCATGAAAAGAGAAAACGTGGTATGTCAGAAATCCACAATTCAGATTTTGCATGTTACGTGAGAACCACATGAGAGAGCAACTATTTCAATTTATTTGGAAAGGTTATGCGCTTGTTTGGCAATCAGTTATTAAATTTAACGATTAGCGGATTGAATTAGTTGTTTTGACCAACAGATTATATTAGTTGTTTGTAAAGTGATGTTTGGTAAAATTAATTGTTCACAATTAGCTATTAGTAAATATGAATATTTGAATATTTGATATTTTTTTACATTTTTTACAATTACTTAAGAAAAATCAAATAATTTATGATTTGTGAAATTTGAAAACGTTGATTAAATAAAATAAATAACTATTTTCTTACAACATGTAATTAACTATATATTTTATTTATTTATTTATTTAAATTCTAAAAATATATAAAAAAATATGCATGAATTATAAGTCCACG